CACTGGGTTCACACAGATCTCGGTCCCCTCCAGAGTGTTCAAAGTCATCAGAGAGAGGCCGTAGAACACCGGCGTGTCTTCTGACAAGTAATCTAACAGCTGTACGTGTTGGTGGCTAGGACACAACACCTCGAACGATGCGGTGGCGCGCGTCTGCCACAAGAATTCACTGAGAAGATTACGCTTCGCCGGCTCTAGTGCAAGCAGCATTCGCAGTATGGCGATTGCAATCGGTGCCGCGGCAAAGAACGGATCGCCGCTTTCTTTCTTCTGACTATCTCGAGTCCGTTCAACATCTTCAACTGTTTGCGCTATCAGGTGCGTGTTCTTGGACCCAAGCACGTAGACGAACTCGCCGTCACTCCGCTTAATTACGGACAAGTGACCTGCCTCGCCGTTCTCTTTAGTGGTGGAGATTACCCACTTGCTCTGAATTTGCGGTTTAGTAAAGAACTTGGACAGCTCCTCCGCTTCCTTCCCTGTCCGTTTCTTGAGCTCCCCGTCATCCTCTTGGCCTGTGAACTTCCTGTATCCACGGATAAGCGGAAAGAAATAGGTCGTTTCTTGAGTCTTCCATTCTGCGATGCAATTGCCACGTGGTAGCCACTCTCTGGCGTATTGATCCTTGAGGTACACAGCATCGTCAGGTCTTCCCGGTTTCCCCACCTTTATGTCATTCAGGTGTTGCAGTCCAGGCAATAGCTCTGGTAGCACACTACGCTGCTGTACCCTTACGTCGTCATTTTCCTTCGCCTTTTCCACATGTTCTTTCCACTGCGATGACTCCTTGTCTATCACTTGCTCGAAAGCTGTAGAACCGCCATGTTGCTGCAGCAGGAACGCCTCGAGCTGTTGACGACCTCTGCGCATGTGTTCGACCGTATTGGCGGCTCGATCACACTCTAAAGCGTCCAAGAAGCAGCACAACTCGTCAGAAAGACGAGCAGCAGGAGCAGCAAAGGCAGAACACGGTGGAGACTTCGAGGCCATGGCGCTGTAGACGAATGCGCAAGACAGAAGATCGTCAAGTGAGCTTCTGTTGCGCAGCAACAATTTGCGTGACCATCACTCAAACAGAACTCGCTACAATGACATTTTGAGTGACTTTGAAGTTGCTTTTATTTTTTAGCAGCCGGTTCATACGCAGACACGAGGTTGACGGGAAGATGGACATGATGTTGACCATAGTGGAGAACACGAGGGCAAAGGCGAAGTAGGCGATTGTCATCAAACCAAGAATGCGGCTTGAGCCCCCGTTGCGCTTGAATTCATTGGTCTCGGCCTTCTGCTTGGGCAGCAGTGGGAGGAAGAGCAGACCGGCCAGATTGATGGCATAGCGAATGATGAGAATGTAGGTGACTTCCCAACGCACGTGAGTAGTGTCACTGGCAATATCTGCGTTGGCTACATCGAATGCACTGTCCACAAGTGGTGACGTAGGGTTCGTCACGGGGGGATTGTTCTCCATGTGTCGATCGCTTCTAAGAGTAGGAGCCATTTAAATGTAAATACCCTTAAATGTCAACTTCAGGAAACTAATCAGGAAGTAACGTAAACACGTAAGTGCCGGGCATAAGGGCCGCGACAGGAC